ATAATAATAATAATAATAATAATAATAATGATGATGATGATGATAATGATATGACAATGATAATAATACAGTATAATCCGTTTATATCGACATGCTTTGGAAAGTGGATTTGATGTCGATAAATGAAAATATAAAGCCAAAGAGGGAAAAAACTATGGGAGGTGAGCGACAAAAAGACAACACTTCTTTTTAAAGCTGGTTTCTTCCTTTGATTCTTACACAACTACACCGTGAAACTAACAAGAGGCAGAAAGGAAAGGGGGGGGGGGGGGGGGGTTGGAGTTATGATACCAATCAGACCTAGCAGCACGAGGCGCACACTACACACCAGCGCAAACTTTGTTTTAACATCCTTGTAAGGCCTATTTATGGCATAGCTGTTTGCTGGGGAAAATGGAAAGGCGAGGCACTGACTAACTGAACGTGGCTTCGGTGGCCTAGTGGTTAGGCTCTCGGACTCGCAACCGTAAGGTCGTGGGTTCGAATCCTGTCAGGAGCCCGACGTTGTGTCCTTGGGAAAGGCACTTTGCACAAATTTTCCTCACTTCACCCAGGTGGAAATGGGTACCCGGCTATAGACAGTGAACGATCTTGTCAGTTTGATAGTGTTTGAGCGCGTGAAACCCGCAGCTTGCACTGTATGCTTCCGCGGAAGCCGAGAATGTTTCTGAGTGTTTTCTGAGGGTCTGCTGGGGTAATAATGGTTGTAAAGCGCATAGAGCTTGCTCTTGAGCATGGGTATGCGCTATATAAATGCAATTATTATTATTACTTCCGAGCGACAGACTGAAAATGGGATGGGGAAGGGGAGTGAGCTAGGCGGGAGTGGGGTTAGTGTAAGAATGTATAGGGAGTGTGCAAGCGAGAATGGGGATAGGGAGGTAATGCCCAGTTTATTGCCCAGCGCGCGAGACACTCACGTCTGTGAGGCACGGTACTGTGTTGGAGACTACACTGTGTAGGCCCTACATGACCTACTAAAGCCTGGTGTGTCGAATAGGCTTCTTAGCAGGTATGCGGACTTTATGAAGAACTGATGCGTTGACTGTTACCGTGGCGTTTTCCCCAAAATATGTTCGTGGGCTTCGCCAGGTACCCAGGAAGCATGTCGATAAAGCAGAGTGGGCCGAAAAAAAGTCGATATAAGAGAAATTGTTGAGTCTAGATACTGAAGGAAAAATTTCATAATTGGAAAATATGTCGATATGTCTAAGTGTTGGTACATCGGCTGTCGATATAAATGGATTTTACTGCAGTTGTCATAATAATAATAATAATGATAATAATGATGATGATTCTAATGATGATGATGATGATGGTGATGATGATGATAACAAAATTAATAACAAAATAATGATAATAATGATGATAGTAATAATGATGATAATAATAATAATAATAAGAATGGAAAAAATAATAATTGCATTTATTTAAATAGCTCATGTCCGTGCGATACAGCACATTTTGTTCGCTTCACAGCTACATTAAATTGCATTTTCCCAGCATACCTTAGAACACATATAAACAAACACACACTTAGTCTCTCTCTCTCTCTCTCTCTCTCTCTCTCTCTCTCTCTCTCTCTCTCTCACACACACACACACACACACACACACACACACACACACACTAATCTGGCATAATCTTAAGCCGTCTATAGCCAGGTACCCATTCCCACATGGGTGAGGTTAGGAAAAATTGTGTATAGTGCATTTCCAAAGGCTACAACATTGGGTCTCTGATGGATCTCGAACCCCTAACCTTCATATGAGCCCAACAACGTAACCTTTAGCGAGATAACCAACGCTATTTTAAGTCCAATTGGGCTGAACAATATCTGGATCAGAGAGGTTATATGTGGGGCAGCGTGGTGGAATCAGGCTCTCGTCAATTTTTGGGCAGGTAGAGTTTTTTTAATTTCATCTTAAAGCTTGTTCAATTGTCTTTATTTTGGTGAAAAAAATATCCATTTATCTTAAATACAAGTCGAGATATTTGCGAAAGAAGGAGGGGGAGGTCACCTATTTTCAGAGGTAAAATTAGTGAGGAAATGGCCGCCAAAGATTATTTATTTTCTTAGTTTAAGAGTCCGTAGTAACTGAAAATTTACATTTTTAGTGCCTTTAATCAATGTTTTTCAGAAAATTTCCCGCAGAGATCATTTCTTTAATAGGCATGAAAGGTGTTGAGCCAAAAAACTAAAATTTTATAAAAATCTATAAACCTACGGAAAAATGCAAGTTTCTTCACTTTGAGTATTTTGACGAGAGCCTGATTCCACCACGCTGTCTCACATATACATGTAGTACCAGTTTGATCTGAGTCAATTTAGCTGACACCTGGTACTTTTAGGGAATACAGTGAAGGTTTGAACTGTTGATTTGTTTTCATTTTGTTTTGTTTTCTTGTTTTTTTGTATTTTTTCAGAGGAAGTTGCTCGGCATGGTTGTTCGTGTTGCTTTTGCCGCTCTTGTGGCTGCTTGTCTGTTGTGTGCCATAGGGTGTGGTAGTCCTTTCTGGACAAAGGGACAAGTAAGTACTGTCTGTCTGTCTGTCTGTCTGTCTGTCTGTCTGTCTGTCTGTCTGTCTGTCTG